TCCACTAAAATGATAAAATTTTTTTCTACTATTCTTTTAGCTTAGATTTCTAAAAAAGGAGATTATTAGGAAAATATTATATATTAATATAAATAAAGCTAAAAAGTAGATAGATAGATTTAAATTAGTCGCAATAAGTATCTACTAATTATAAAATAGCTGCGGTCAATTCGGAAAAATTAGATGTTAAAATTCTAATTAATCCTGAGTAGATAAAATATTAATAATATTATCGTCTTGCATAACATAAATGAAAAAAATAATTTCAATAACTTAATAACTTTGAGCAAAATGTTTTGATTATTTACTAGAAAGGTTGATGATCATTTTTAATGTTTGATTAAAATTAATTTAAAAATAAATATGAGAGTATAAAAATAAGTAAATCCCATTATAATCAGAAGTGTTTCAAAGTTTTTAAAAAATTAACTATTGATTTAGCATTGAATTTTTATGATTGGAACTAAAAAATTAAATATATTCTTTAAATAAATATAAATTATAAGTTATTTATTATTGGAGTAAAAGAGCCTATATCAAAGATTTTAAAATAGTCTTTTAAATTTACTCGAAATTCAAGATTCTGAAATTTCTACAATGATAATTATTAAATCAAATAGAATTATATAGGTGCAAAAACTAATATTATTCTCTATTGAGCACTTCCAATTCAAATAAAACTTTGCAAATACTTCTACAGATATCATCATTGTTAAGATTTCTATCATCAAATTATTCTAATCTCTGAACAATATACCTACGCCCACATATACGATGGCAAAAGGTTCAATCTTCTAGACATTCTTTTTAACATTCTAAGCATCATCCCTGAAAACTATTTATGCATTTCTGGTCTCATTAATGAGAACATTAATAACATCTATCAAATTAATTGGTATCTCTATCATTACATTATTCACTTTCTGCAACATAGCCATCACCATATTATGAAATGCATATCCCTCAATTAAATACCATCCTACCGCATTCTTAACACAATTTACCATTATAAATATTGCGTCCTTATGGAGATTGTGCGCCCTTATTAAGATTGTGCTTCCTTGCCATTTATAACAACCATATATCATTATTAGTGTAATCAATTTTAAAAAGCATCTGCACATTCTAATATTATTTATATAACAGTTTATACATGAACTATCAGTCCAAAAACACTTAAATCCATGTTATTTATCATTTAAGTGAAATTATTTGACCATTAATAGATGAATTGCAATCTTCATTACTTAAATATAAGTCAGGATCTGCATTATTGCAAACTTGATGAATATTTTTTTAACCAACTCTATCTCACTTAAAATTAATCCCTGAGAATGCTAGAAAACATTATTCTTCAAGAGCTAATTAACAACCCTACTATGTATTTATACACCCAATAAATATGTTTTAATTTGATAAAAATAAGTCATTAACTGTGCAAATGATACTCACTCTTACTATTAATTGTTATCATAAAATTTTGGAGCAGAATTGCATTTTTTGTCAATATATCCTTAATTCAATACACAAATTGTTCCTGTGGAATCAATTGAACAATATTCAATTTGAAAAGTATTTAAACAACCATAAGAATCTTGTTCAAATGTTCAAAATTAACTATCCTTTTAACATGCTTAATGACTACATTATAAGTTGGCAATCTCAATTTATTACATTCTAATCAAATACATCTTTCTTTATTATAGTTAAATTCACAAAATTATTCTTTAAGAATATCCTCACAATTTTATGGTGTCTCTTAACATCTACCATCAACTTTTCCTATACAATTTCCATATAACTTACAATCTGCTTGATTATAATGAATTGAAGCAAGATAACGTTTTCTTTTTGCAAATTTATTATACAAACTTCTTATTATATTCGCATGTTTAAGTTCTTTGTTTACATCTTCTATTTTCAGAGATAACACATTGTTGTTATCCTAACATTACTTATTATTTATAAAAGTATCTGAGCAGTACTCTTTATTTTACATTAATTTTTAATGATATTCACAATTATTTCCTTCATTTTAAAATGAGAAATAAAACTCCTAAATGATATATCAAAGTAGAATGAATTAAGCACAATTCTAAACGTCACTATAATTTTTCTTTAGATACAGCGAATTCCATTAGTTGTACAGCATATAGACTTTAAAATCATCTTATCATTATACATTTTCATAAATCCTTTACATTCCCTCAAATAAACATAATTTTATGTATAGAATCCCAGAAGCAGTTTTCCCTTTTTTATTAACATTCAAAGCATTAATAATAGTAAGTGCATAAATCCATCTATTTAATACACCTATAAATTATCATTTACAATCCAATCATCTAGACCTACTTTACAAATGATGACAATTGTAGAGATTATATTTAGTAAGTTTTATTAGAAAAGGGTTACCTTTGTGTTTCCTTGAATATTTAGAAAAAACCTATATAACCTAAAATGCTTAAAAATTTTCTAATTTTTGGAGTTTTTAGAAGTCCTTAATGCAAATAGGATGATTATATTCGATTTATCTTTAACTTAGTCTATTTTACTCTATAATTGATTTGTTTTCAATTAGGGTTAGAATTATAGTTTCTTCTAAATCTATTGATACTGGAATATTTTCTGAACATTTAAATGATAATATAGAAGTTAAAAATTAATTTGATCATGAAATGACAAACTTTATAAAAGTAATAGAATCATTCCATCTTGATTTACCCAAAATCTGAATATTTTAGTGATAGTTAAATTATAAAAACAGGCTTGTAATATATCTTATTGCTAAGTTTAAACTATTTAAAAATATGATATACGCAATGCAATTAAAGGCAACTTGAAATTTAATGAATAATAGTGCTTATTGTAATGATTATAAATTTATTTTTGCTTAGACTTTAAATTTGACAACAACTGGAAAACTTATTGGGTATTTTAACATTATCATAGTATTTCATAAATTCAGAAATATTAATAAAAATGAATTACATTATGAAAAGTTATCAATTAATTTTTATTTTCTTTCATCATTATATACAGAATGAATAGCATAATTGTTAAATTTAGAGGTGGAAATAAAAAATACAAAAATAAATAATTCTATATTGATAAGTTTTTTTGATAATAATCAATTCTCGTTTTATCCTTATAAACCTTCTAAAATACAGCTTCCTTTTTGTTTAAATAAAGATTTTAAATCTATACCTGATTGATTCTCAAATTGGCCTTTGTAAATTAAAGTCCGTTTAGCTTAAAATATTGCCTATTGAGATATCAATAGAATAGTAATAATAGAGGCTACTCAATATAAATGATTAAATACCACTATCGTGTAAAAGGTCGTTTTAAAAGAAGGGACTATTAAATTATGCTAAAATATCTTGAGACCTGCAATCTGAAGGTAATATTTTATTTCCTGTTTTAACATTCCATAAACGGATAGACTTATCATCACTACCAGATGCTAATATAGATCCATCAGGAGAAAAGTGTACTGATCGGATATAGTTACAATGATCCTACAATTTTGCTGTTTATTATCCTTTCTTAACATCCCATAAACAAATAGAGCAATCTAAGCTAGAAGATGCTACTATTGATCCATCAGGAGAGAAGCATACTGAGGAGATAATTCCACTATGACCATTTAATTTTATTTTTTATTATCCTGTCTTAACATCCCATAAACGGATAGACTTATCATCACTACCAGATGCTAATATAGTTCCATCAGGAGAGAAGTTTATTGAGTTTATACAATTTTAGTGACCATCCAATCTGGCTTGTTATTACATTGTCTTAGCATCCCATAAACAGATTAATTTATCTTCACCTCCAGATGCTAATATAGTTCCATCTGGAGAGAAACATACTGACCAGACAATATTAGTAGGCTCAGCCAATTTGGCTTTTTATTATCCTGTCTTAACATCCCATAAACGGATTGATTTATCATCACTACCAGATGCTAAAGTAATTCCATCTGGTGAGAAGCATACTGA